CTGCCGAGTCCGCGCGGTCCGGCCCCAGGTCACTGCCAGCCGCCCGCCCTAGAGGCTGGACTTTCTCTCCCCGCCCCGTCTTCACCCCACCCAGCCCACCTGACACCAATCCCAGTGGGCGGGCAGTGCCCGGCAGAGTGGCCCTTGCACTGACCGGCCATGCCCAGGCCCCTACCCCCTTGGGTCGGTGCCACGCTTGGTTTATCCTCCACTCCGTGGGCTCCCAGGTGATTCCTGGCTTGGGCCTGAGCCGGCAACCTCTTCAATCCCATTCCCTTTGCTCCAGCCCTCCTATTCCTTGCCATATACTCTCCACCCCACGTGCATGCACACACACACACACACACACACACCCACACACACACACACACACACACACACACACACACACACCTACCTTATCCTCCCCTGCATGTCCAGGACATCGTCTTCCACCGAAGTCTATACCTCAGTCACAGCTGAGTTTCTCCACACACATCACTGTATCTCTGCCAGCTTTTCCCACTGCCTAGTACCCCCATCCTTAACTCCTACTCATCCCTCAAAACGACGGTCAACTTGCTCCTTCTTTTGAAGCCTTCCCCACACCACCCCAGGCAGAATTGTTGCACATCCCTGCTTCCTCCGTGTGTGCCCTCACCAATGTAGTCCTGAGCTGCAGCACACAGCTAAGAGTTCCCAGAGGGTAAGACCTACATCCCCCATCACCTGTGCCAAGATTAGCTGGAAACAAGATAGATCAACCAATGTGATAAATGTAATTTCCTTTCCTAGTTGGCTTGTTTTTTCATAACCAAGGCACTCCTTCCTGCCTTGCCTGCCATCTCTTTTCTGAAACTAGAATTCACCTCTAAGAAAATGGGCCCTAGGCCTGTGGAGGTGGGAAGATGGCTGGTCCCCTTCCCACCTCCTCTTCTGCCTTTGGCTCCTTCCTGTCCCTGAAAAGTCACCAGCCCTGAGCTCAGAACCCTCACTAAACATAAACCTTCCAGCCAGTCCGGCTCTTACCTAGAGTGCAGAGAGGAGGGGCAGCAGCTGTGTCTCGGGGGCCCCTGGGGAGCTCTGTGAATTTTTAGGCAAAAGATAAAGCTTGGCAGAGAAAGCAGAGCGGAATTACCCGGAGCCTCTCTAAAAAAGTTAAACAGTTTATTCCATTGGCAAAGCCTCGCTCCCTCTTCACCCGAAAGTGGGGACCCTTCTGAGCTTAGTCAAAGATCCCTGCAAAGAGGGGAGGAAATGCTTCTCCTGCTGCAGGGTGGGGATTGCTGAGGCCCAAGGAGCTCACCCTCCAGATCTGGGCCTGGTTCCCTTCTGACCCCTTCTCAGGTGCCCACACCCACGATTTCTCACTCCTGGGCCCAGCTGCAAAGAGGCCCAGAAGACTGAGGAGGCAGAAGTGCACACAGGGATAAAGGCAGTCCGAACCAGCCAGGCCCCAGCAATCCTGGCTTGGGTGTGAACTTCTCCGCAGGACTGGCGTCCCCTGCCTGCCTCTGAGGGCCGTGGGGAGCATAGTGCCCACCATGTCGTCAGCGCCCAAGAATAGAGCGGTTTAGGAAGACGATCCCTCCCATTGCACATTCCGCGTGCTGGCTGTGGGCCCACTTTGGCAGTACCCAGATCCCTTCCATCTGGGGGTCAGGGTGTCCTGGGGATGGCACACCTGGCTTGGGAAGCCGTGCTACTCCATGTGAAGCAGGGACCCTGGCTCCAATCCACACCCACGCCTCTTTGCTGGCCTCACTCCCAGATCACCCCTGCCCTTGTCAAGTCTACACTGCAGTAGGTCACATTCTGGCACTGTGTGTTAGTTTAGACTACATAAGTCACCTCCTTAGGCCACAACCTGCTCCTGTGGGCTTTGTGCTGAGGGTAGTGGGGAGGAAAGTAACCAACTTTATAAAGTTCCTACTGGGTGCTGAGAACAACTTAATTCTTCTCCCCTCCACACACACAGCTGAGCCTTAATTCTTTACATTTTGATGGCTTCTCCATCACGCCATTTTGATGGTTTCTGCAGACTGCAGATTCAGGGATGAGGCTGAGAAATACATGGCCAGATGCCAACCAAAGCAGTTGGGTGGAGACGAAGTCTCGATAGAAGAGGGTGAAATGGTGAAACGCCAGAGCCCTGGGACTCCAGGATTCACCCCATCCAGGAATCTTGCCTCTGTGTGCCCCTGGGCCAGGCTTTGCCCTAACAGTGGTCTATTTCCCTTTCCCTCTCCCGTGCTTTTGGCTAGGGCAGAAATCACTCTTCCGCGGTTCTGCCCAGTACCGGAGATTGGCCTCTAGGGGGCGCTCTGAGAAGCCGGGTTGACTGCCAGCCAGACTCTCTTCCCCAGCCCCCCGCCC